TGCTGCTTGGCCTGCTGTGTTCATCCAGCTCTGCACCTTGTTGTCTCGGATTCTCCAGCATTTGCAGTTCCTACTATCGTGGATACATACTTTAACAGGGAAAGAGGAGAACATTTGGAAGAATGGAAAAGTATCTTTAACAAAGAGCCAGTGGCAGCATGATGGGCTAAATAGGTGCCTTCTTTGCTGCATAATTCTATATTAGGGACAGACACTTTCAAAACTGGAAAATTCCACATTTGTCTAAGGAACTCCCACAACTACACAAATCAAAATGTAAATTAGTCCATTTCAAATTATGAAGCCTTTTCAAATGAATTGGTAGCGTCAGGCTACAGCAGTATCAGAATATCCTCCTCTATATATTCCATTTAAAATTACTGGTAGATTTTGGCATAAAATACAACTGCCTTAAAAGCGAGAGGTGAGTTATTGCACTTTGGTTTATGGAGGGTTTTTTTCGTAATAACTGAATACTGTTTAGGAAAAAGCCTTCATAACACTTAGTGGACCATTTCACAATGACTCTTAAAACTATTATAATAGACCACTTCAAGGTCATACTGAGCCTAGGGTGGGTCATTAACAAAAATGTAAAAGTAGACATCCAAAGCTTCTGCTAAGTGCTGCACGACATATTGCAGTAGGAAGTACTGCAAATTTTGACCTTTAAAATATCATTGTGGATTACACATTACAATAAAGTTAACATTTTGTATTTATGAAACATTGCAATTTTGTGAAGCTTGGTATTTTAATAACATCTACAAGCACATGAGTTGAAGTGCTATTTATGTTGCTCAGTTTGAATTTATTACAGCACAAGTCTATCAAATGGATGATAACTGACTCGTAGCAAAACGGTGAATCTGAGATTTTTTCTGACGCTGCAAAAGCTAAAAAATATGCAATAAAGTTTAAGCTTTAAGAGACCTGGAAACATTGGAAAGAAAGAATTGAAGATAAGGCAGTAAGAAAACTATTCAAGACTTTCAAATAGATGACAATTGGGACGAAGGTTAGATGGGAAACAATGGAATTTAGATGCACATGAAAAGAAAATAATAGGTTTAAAAAAAAAAGGGAAGTTCTATCACTGGTGAGAAAGGACAAAAATCACATGACACCAGCTTGTAGTTCAACAGATTTATTTGAAAACACAAGCTTTCAGAGTCTCACTCCTTCAGGTGTCAGTGAGACAGGTGGCATCAGACACAGATTTAAAAGCAAAAGATCAACGGGTCATAGAATTGACACAAATGTATTGAACAAACCTAAGATGGCTGTTAAATCTTTAATTAGTTAGAAAGGATTAATATGCAAGTTCCAGAATTTCTTTCAAGTCACTGTCCCGAGATAACTAAAGGTTTTTGGTATACCAGAGGTGACTTCTCAGGTCAGGCAATGCATTTAGGTGTGAGACCTTGTATAGAATCTGGCTGTGTATTAACGTGGAGTCAGACTGGCTTTATTTCCAAAGTAGGAATTTATAAAATGCCACATTGACTGTCTATAAATTGTGTGCTTTTTGAACAAAATAGAATGTATCTGCAATTACAAATTGTGCAAATTCACCCCATAGATTTACACGTGTGCGCACATTTAAAAAAATCTAAAACAAAGAAAGCAAAATGCTATTGATGCTGGAAAACTGAAATAAAAACATGAAATGTTGGAAATACTCAACAATAACAATGGCTTATATTTATGTACTGCCTCTGAAGTGAACAGTATTCTAAGCGTTCCATAGGAGCATAAAACAAAGTACGACACTGAGATACAGGAGGAAGTATTAACTCAAATGACCAGAAACCTAGTTAAAGATGCACATTTTAAGAATCATAGAATCTCTATGGTGCAGAAAGAGGCCATTCAGCCCACTGAGTTTGCACCAACCCTCCGAACATATATTGAATAAGGAAGACCAAAATACTAAATGAGTTCTTTCCCTCTGTATTCACTGAAAAACATGACAGCGGGAGCAAAGGGGTATAAAATCAATGAGGCAGAACAACGAACATCATTAAGAATAGGTAAAATAGCAGCACTGAAATAAAATAGAACTTGAAGGTGGTCCAGGCCATTGGGTATGGAGTAAAGACAAGAAATAAAACTGACTCTGACCACAATCAAAGCATCCTTGACTACAGAAGTAATAAAGATGATGACAAGGATCCCAAATGTAGCTGGGCCCTTCGAACCCTGTCCTCACCAATGGAAGAGTCCAAAACATCAGCGCAAAATATAAACTCAAAGCATTCGCAGCAATTTTCAGCTGGAAGTGCGATGAGGTTGATCTATCTTGGCCTCCTCCAGTGATTCCCAGCATTACAGATATCAATTTTCAGCCAATCCACATGAAATCAAACAGCTGGAGACACTTGATATTGCAAAGGCAATGGGCCCTGATAACATTCCAGCTTTTGTCCGGAAGACTGCCGCTCCTTTAGCCAAGCGCTTCTAGTACACAGGCATCCACCCGACAATGTAGAAAATTGTTCAGCTACGTCCTGTACACAAAAACCACAAATCCAACCTGGTCAATTACTGCTCTATCAGTCTATGCTCAAACATCAAAGTGATGGAAGGTGTCAATAACAGTGCTATCAAGCAGCTCATTTGTGTCACCATAGTGTTACCACACCAAAGGTCTGCTCTCTCATCTCAAAAACAGGACTAATGGTGATTAAACCCGAGGGCCAGCATACCTCAGGCAAGAGGAAAGGTTGAGGAGAGTCCTTCATGGTAACCTCAGCTGATAGGAATTGAAACCACACTGTTGGCATCACACTGCTTCACAAACCAACCGTCCAGCCAACCAAGCTAAACTGACCCCAAGCAACACCTGTTCAGCAATAACCTGCTCCGTGATGCCCAATTTGGGGTCTGCCTGGGTCATTCAGCTCCTTACTTCATTACAGTCTTGGTTCAAATATGGACAAAACAGCTCAATACCAGACATGAGGTGAGAGTGACAGCCCTTGACATCAAGGCCACATTCAACCGAGTGTAGCATCAAGGAGTCCTCGGAAAACTGGAATCAATGGGTAGCAGGGACAGACTCTCCAGTGGTTGGAGTTGAGATGGTTGTGTTTATTTGAGGTCGGTCATCTCAGCTCCAGGACATCTCTGCAGGAGTTCCTCAGGGTAGTGTCCTCGGCCCAAACATCTTCAGCAGGTCAAAGGCTTGGAATACTGTAGAGAATAACTTACCACCTGATTCTCCAAATCCTGTCCATTATTTCCCAAGGCACAAGTCAGGAGTATGATGGAATCCTCCCCATATGAGAACACCACCACTTGCAAGTTCCCCTCCAAACCACTCACCATTCCAATCCTTGAAAATTGTAGGTTGAAATCCTACAATTCCCTTCCTAAGGGCACTGTGGGTCAACTTACAGCACATGGACTGCAACAATCCAAGAAGGCAGCTCATCACCACCTTCTCATAGGCAACTAGGGACGGGCCAGCGATGCTCATGTCTTACAAGTGAATAAAAAGAGATCCCAGATGTAACATGCTAGCTTCAGCGAAAAGAAGAAGTGGTAAATTGAATAATTACTGGCCAATCAAATTAGGCTTTAGAGATTGAGTCAAAAATTTTTTTTTTTTTCTAAAGTCAAGTTACTTCAGGATAGTCAGTCTGAATTTGCAAAAGATAAATCATGTTTGATAAATTATAAGTTCTTAAGGAAATGGTGGAACATTGATAAAGGAAGTGAAAAGAACATAGTACATTTTGATTTGCAAAAAGCAGCTTACAAGGTGTCACATAGCATTAAGGAAGTTGACCCAAAGACAGAAAATGGTTATAATGAATGGCTTTTAAACCATATGCAGCAAACTGACGTTTAAAAAATGAACATTGATCTGCTTGATCATAAACTGGTGGTGCTGAAAGGCTTGTCTGTGTTTCATAACTTCTATTCTTATAGTTATCATTGATGTGAAATTGTAGCACCTATCAAAAGCGGGAACTGAGCATTTGCAAAACAAAAATATATAAAATGCAGGGAAATCAATGAAGATCAATTCTAATAGGCACGATGGGTTAAATCATCTCCTCCTGTGCTATAAATTGCTGTCAATAAAGTAAGACAACAGTTTAGACTGAACATTAGAAGTTTACCACAGTAGAATATTGTATCCATTGAAAACAAACAAAAAGTGTACTTACTATATTTGCATCGTGTCAGACAAACAATGAGGAAAATGCATCAACTAAATGGATTAAGCAAGAGTTTAGTCATCTAAGCACTCAAATGTAAATTGAATCATTACAGCCAATACAGGTCAAATGTTTTTGGGAACTTTCGACCAGAATCAATCATGAATAACAGAACATGTTATAGTAAAGAGTGTGAAATATATTAGAAAATGTGCTAGTCAGGAATATATCAACATTATTAAGGCACTTTGTAGAATATGTTAGAATTCAAGTGAAACGTACGAAGAAACTTTCATTGCGGAATGGGGTGATTTTATGGATTACAGTGAGAGAAGTACAATAATTCAGTGATGTAATGGCAATGGAGACATATCAGCATGTGAAGTCATGAAAGGTTAAAATAAAACAAAATAAATTCTACCTAACAGTTAAAAAAAGGAAAAAAAAATTGTGACATGGAAAATGTCACATAAATTGAGTTGAGATTATTCAACATTTTGGTTGGCGTAAACCACAATGTCAAAACAGATTATATAATCTTGTACCATTACCTCCCAAAAATTACTGAGGAACTTTTCTATTCCCAGTATTAAGTTAACAGACAATAGTAGCTGAGATTGTTCGCTTTGGAGTAGACAAGGTGACAGCAGTGATTTAAGAGAGATGTGGAAAGTTGAGGAGATTTGATTGAGTAAATAAGCAGGCAGGAACAGAAGACAGTTTTACACGACTGGACAAAATAAGTTGGAGAGAGGTTGTCCCAGAGAAACGTTTTTAATGCAGCGAGCTACGATGATCTGGAGTGCACTGACAGAAGAAAAATGGTAAAAGGGTATTCGACTTTCAAAAGATAAACATATTTATTAAAGCACAGTGGGCTAAATGGCCTCCAAATGTATGGATCCATGAAACTATGTTGCCTTTACAAGCACAAAAATACAGTAAAAAGATTTAAGAAAAAAAAACTTTTAAAGGCTGTAACAATTTGGGATTCACATGCAGCATTGCAGAAATTCTTACCCAAATTTCCTTTTTGTACATGACCCAGCACATATAGTCCACTCTTCTTTAGGTCATTTGTGAAACTGATCAGTTGAGTACATGTCCTGGGATTGGCAACCATCAGCAGAATTTGTGGGCGCCAGAATTTGACATGATCTTTACGAACATCTAGCATCAGAAGATACTTTCTAACCTGCAAACACAAGCATCGATACAGGATTCTGAAGTAAAAGGAAAGATTAATTTAATTACTGTATACTCGCAGCATACACTAACTTACTGCTTTACTAGCTGTGATGCAAAAAAAAAGCTGTTTAGTGTAAAATATTAAATAAAGGAGTTAGAAATGGTGTATCTACCACAGTGAATCCACTCTGTGTATTTCTCAAATTTCAGGTAAAAATTATAAAATGTACCTATTTATCCATGAAATTAAATTTATAATATTATTACATTCTTATAGTTGTACTGTGCACACGAATCTCATGTTTTAGAGATCCTGAATTCACATGACAGAGTCAAAATTCAGTGAAATCTTCTCTGATGAGCAACATTACTTAGTAGTTGATTGTAACACTGCCAACATAGTTAGCACACAATGGTTTTTTAAATCAATAACATAAAGCCTGTTGAAAGCTGCATCACTACAAATCCTATTCATCTCACAGCTAAAGGATATGTGCCAATAACCTACAATTACGATACTGAAATACACTTCTTTCCTAAAGCGAGCAAGCAAACAGTTATTTGAAAGAAGTCCACAGAGGCTGGTATCCCGTCACCAATTCCTCCTTTATTTATATGTGGAGAGTCCTTGACACTGATCCAGCTCCCTCAGAGCCATCTCTCAGAGTGAACAGGATGTCTGAGACTCCTGTTTATATCTGTCAGTCAGGGCTCCCTGATTGGATCAGATTAATGGCCCCAATCAGGGAGTTCATATTCTATGAAATCCACCTGGCTGATGTTGTTACAATCGCTACAGTACTCAGCTTCAACAATAACAAAGTTTGGTCAAATAATCTTCTCTTCAACAGTAATTACTCTTGCTGTAAAACTAAGTTATTAATATTCACAAGATACTTTTTGTGTAATAAAATGTTACAAACATTTCCAGGATATGTAGTTTTTTTTGTTTAAAAAGTGTATAGCCATAGACCACATAGGCATTCAAACTATGATTGAATGTTAGGTTGGCAGAGGTAGATTATAAAAAGAATGACCTCTGGTGAACTAAATGATCTTGTCAAGAATTTTTCTTCATCCTCCTTGTTAGAGCTGGATTTAAAAACCAAGGGAACACCAAGGTCACTATCAAATTAAAATCACACTGGCATTGTTCTGAGAAACTGTAAAGTAATATGGGTAGCAACGTAAGAGTATACTGTCAAACTTTTATGCCCACAAATTTGGTATGTATATGGAAGTCTTTCTGAACCAATACTGATTGTGTAAGGAGCAAAAATTATAAATGCACAGTGCTGCAAATTTTAAGAGGTTTACAATAGACTATCATGTGTTTTACAGTTAGCTCCATGAATAAAAGATTTGATCACAGCTATTGTTGCTATGGTGATGGCTTGTTAATGAATCAATTAAACAAATAGCAAAATTTTGTAGTTGTGGAAGTCTGAAATATAAGACAAAATCCTGAAAGTACTCAACAGGTACTCCCTTCACATCAGTGAAGGAACAGTTAATGCCTCAGGTCAGTGACCTTCCAACAGGACAATTTAACAGATGTTTCAAACACATAATTAGCACCATCTTGGAACAGTTTCCTGATGTTCTACTGTACCTGGTGAAAGATCAGAGCTTGGCTGATGTAACCCCAGCTGCTTGAAGGTGATACATAGTGAAGGACCAGCAACAGTATCAGCATGAATGCAACACTGCATGATGCATATATTGGGCTAATCAGGAACATCATAATCCCACAGCCAATGATGCCTAACACACAAGTATGCCAGGTGAAGTAGCGAAAGGTTGGCCTAAAAATAGGAGAAATATATTTGAATAGTAATATGCATGCTAAAGATTACCCTTTGTCTTGTGGTTCACAAGTTAAATACATATTGAATAAAGAAATGCATAACGACATTTGGATTAGTGCACAAACATGCTGTTCCTAGAATGTGAGATGTCACATTCTCCATTGTCACCCCCACTATATTACAAACCTTAGATTGACACCATTAGGAAGCAGTATAGAGGTTAACTACTTTATTCTAGGAATGAAGAGCCAATGTTTTTCAGAAATATCATTGCATTGGTTGCAGGCAGGTTACTGTCCTGTAGGGTGCAGTTATTTTTCAATGCTTTGGACTTGATTAAGCACTGAGCAATATGGTCTTTGAAAGCAATTTTAGTTAATATACTTAGGCATCAGCCGTTATTGTAGAATCAAACATGGTCCTTTTAACGAAAAGATGTGGATAGATTTTGGGAAGTGCCTATAGGTTTCACTTCAGAGAGTTGTGATGATATCAGAATCACTAAGGGGTGACTCTACATAATCAAGCAGAAGCACGAGTTCTGCTGGTGTCACATTGTTTAGGCAGGAATCTATGGAGTTAGCAAGCTAAGAGGGACCAGCTGTCAAAACGGGGATTCAATTGACATTTGAAGGAATGCATCAGAAGTACAATGGCCATCACTTTCAAACAAATCAATCATGAATTGGGCACACATTACCCAGCCAGTCTAAGATTGGTCATGTGCTGTCTGTGTTGCCAAGAGTTCAGGATCCCTTTGACCAGGGGTAGTGGCTAAACAGGGTTAGTAAGCAGTGATTCTTAGTGGTTTGGTTCATAGCAGAGAAGGCCGATGACAGGAGGACAACCTTGATCAACAAAAGAGAACAACAGACATGTGTCCTGTCAGTTGGAAAAATAAACTGGTATGCTGAAGTGGATCAACTGAAAAATCACTGCTTCCATCAAGTGTCATTTCTTTTGTACTTCTGATAAAGTTAATAACTTCTGCAAAACTTGTGAAAACATATTTACATCTAGAATGGGCCTTTGACCAAGTCAAAACTGGTAAACTTTTAGGTTGGCTCCCTCAACTCAGTCTCTAATTATGACTGACTTGGGTCTTACAATTTAAAGATACAGTAAAGTCACCATAATCCTAGAGGACCAGAAGGCTATTCTCTCAGAGGGGGACATTGGTGGTGGTTTCACCTGACAGTCACAATGCCTCAGGTGACAGGAAGAGGTTGAGGAGATTCCTTCGTGGTAATGTCAGCCTGTACAGAAATTGAACCCACACTGTTGCTATTACTCTACATCACAAACCAGCTGTTCAGCCAACTGAGCTAACCAACTGAAGTTAGCAAGCACCAAATCTTACAGACCGGGATGTCACTTGCAAATACCACAGGACTGTCTCACTTGACTTGTTATAAAAGCAGTTGCTTTTTCTTTATTCAGCCTTTTGTTTCAAAAGCAAATAAATTTATCCCATATTGTTAGAACAGAATGGTAACGGATTGCCTTGCTATTGCATTTGAAGTCAGTCTAACCCTTTAATTCAAAGTCATTTCATTCGAACTATCTATTAATTTGAATTCCTTTTGGCATAAAAAAGCCTACAGTGCTTTTTGATTTAAATTGCTTAATTCAAATAACTGGATAATTTTAGAATTATCCAGGCATTGAATTAACAAAATTACATACCAGCAGAATCGAGAATGTTAAAACAGAAATAGCTACAGATGTACTTAAGAATCAGAAAGGTTAGAATTATGGCATGTAGTCTCCCTTATGTCTATTGGTAAATCTTGATGACTTTCAACATTTACCATTTTGTTACCTATGTCCTAAGCCAATCTCTTCAGTCACACATTTGAAGCTTCAAGCCAATATCATATAGAGTAACCTAAAGGCACAAATTTACAAAACAAAAATTAAGGTATGAATGAATATGTTCCCAAGATAGGCGCAAGTCAAGTTCACAAGTATACTGCCTGTTACATGTATATTGTGTATTAGAAGTTGTTCATACATCTATCTTTCAGAATGTAATGTGGCAAGGAATTTTTGTGCCAAGTCATATCATTGTACAAAATAAAGTCAATAAAACCCGAACAAGAACAAAATCAGAAGTTGCCGGAAAATCTCAGCAGGTCTGGCAGCATCCGAGAAGGAAAAAAAAAGATCGATTAATGTTTTGGGTCCAGTGACCCTTCCCTCACAGTTCTTTCGGTTTTTATTCAATAAAAACAAAGATGTTGGATGATACAGGGAAAATGCAGCACATCAGTATATGCAAATAACGAGAGCAAAAGTTAAGAGGGTGGTTTTTCATCAACTTGACAGAAATTGCACATTTAGTTTACCTTAGAAAAAAAGTCAACAAAATAACAACTCAATATGCAGAGTCTTGACAAATTGTTACAAAATCTATCCATCACCAAAATCTTACAAATGTATAAGGCCTTCATCATGGAAAGGCTGTTCACAATGTTTCAGGAAAATAGCTGCTATTTATTCATTTAGCAAATAACAATATAAGCAAATTTTCAAAACTGTTAAGTTCCTATTATTGCTCCTTAACTTGAAGCTACTAGAGATTGTGGTCAAAAATTTGGGCAAAGACGTTAGCTTTAATGATGCTCTTAAAAATACTGAAAGGTAGTTGGAGAGGCTTAAAGGAGAGAGATCCAAAGGAGAAGCTAGAGCTGAAACTATTATTGGCAGTAGTACAGCAAAAAAAGCGCAGAAGGAGAGAGGTTGGGACAGTGTGAGGTAGTGAGGAGAAATGGTGTAAGTATACAATAGGCATGAACTACAGGAAAGGAGAGTTTTGGTGAGGAGGAATTGCAGGTCAAAAGTGGTAACAGAAATAGCAAATGAGTTCGAGGATGGATCTAAACACAAAGATAAGAATTATATCTTGAGTTTTCAGAAAATCAGGAGTAAAGATGAGGCAGCTGGGATTATTGATACTAAGGAGGCATCTGGGATGCCAAAATTGTCCAACAAAGGGTAGCCATGTATGGTTCAAAGCAAAATTTTACACCCTTAACAGGCTCAGAGTTGATGGACATGAGTAGGGATCAGTTAGGATAAGATTCCAGCAATGGGAAAGGTGAATGATTACATAGTCAAGTGAAGGAAAATGGGAGAGGGGAGTGGAAATAAGAAAGTAATTAAAAATAATAATGGAAAATAAGAGTAATGGCCCCACATCCAAAGCTACCCAAAGTACTCAATGTTAATGGATGTAGAAAATTTAGGTTACGTACAGGACAGAGGTAAAACATGTAACTGGAAATTTAGGGTCGGTCGATCGCTCCAGAACCAGTGAGAAACTGGCCAAGGGGGAGGCCCGACAGGACTAAGTGCCAATCAGACATGTGACTGGACAGTGTTGGGTCTTTCCCAGGATTCAGAGCTCAGAGAAGAAATCTGGGATTGGCTGTCAGGCCAGTAGCTTACCATTAAAAGATAGCACAATGGGAGTTGGAGCAAATTACTTCAGATGCTGTAATCTGTACCGAAAACAAAAACTGCTGGAAGTCACAGCAGGTCAGGCAGCATCCATGGACTGAGAGCAAGTTAATGTTTTGAGTCTAGATGACTGTTCAGAGGTCTGAAGAAGAGTCATCTAGACTTGAAAAGTTAGCTTGATCTCTCTCCATGGATGCTGCCTGACCTTCCTTAATTTCCAGCACTTTTTGTTTTCAGCACAATGGGAGCAGTGGTTGCTGCCAGTTAGCACCCAGGGAAAAACCTAGGGTTGGACAAGGGATCCCGACCTCAGTTGAATGAGTGTGGAGTGGAATTTGTGAGAAAAGGACTTCAGAAGAAAGGGAAGGGTTGGCTTTTAGCGGTCAGTCTAATGTTACGTCCCTTGACAGGGCAATAATTTTTCGAAGGAGGATTCCTTCCCAGCCCCACTCCAAGAAACCACCAAACTAAATATTCTTAAAGATATATAGTAAAAGAACGTGCTTGGAGGATTTAATCACAGCTATTTTACAGTCAATGCACAGACACACCTCTATATTATTTTAAATGAACTCGTAATGTGCAAGTATTAACCTCAAACAGATACATGTTTTCCAGGTTATTGTTTCAGAGTTCAGATTACATTCCTCTCATCTGCAGATGATATCTGTTAATGAGAACTAAAGCGTGGTGATCTCTAATAGTCATTGCTAGTCTAAATGTTATCAGACATTTCTTTTGTAGGTTAGATCTTACGATAGAGAACCAAGTGCACATAATGGCCCTAGCAGTGTAGCCAGTTTGCAAAGTGGGTGGGATAGTAAGCAAATGCGAACAGGCCTGTACAGGTTGATCAGAGTGCGATCATCAACGACACCACTGCATTTGTCACATACATATGTTTACATCATGCTGGGGCATTATTATATTATTGCTGATTCAGCACATCTTCTAGATTGAAGATAACTAGCAGGAGTCAGCAAGTCCTGATTAAAAAAAAGTCTGGATTGTATCTATAAGCTGAAGAAGTCTGGCCAATTTAATTATAGTTGTTAGTATCAATGCAATAATAAAACCATTACTGAAAAGATATTCCAATGGATTTTGCTTTACAGCACAGTTGTACAAGAACTATGATGTAGCAGTGACACACATTTCATGGAGCTTTTAACTGTAATATTTATACAATGCTTTCAAAAAAAGTCAAAGATAACAGAAACTGGCAAATTAAGCAGTGCAGTTCTGTATTGTCAGCATAAATACAGTATTGTTGAAGCAGTTTTGACAAATAAAGAAAACTAATATTGTCATTGCAATGTCATCTTAATAGCTTATGCTGTAAACCTGAAGTTCATTAAAAACATAACTTGCCACTGATCAGTTTAAAATAAAAATATTTCTTGCAGCTTTCTATCCAGTCAATCCCTACATTCCTCCCACCCCACCCCACTACACAGCACAGCATCAAGAGCAGGCTTGAAATGTAATCTCACTTGATGCCATTATCTTACAATCTACTTGCCATAATCAAAGCA